ATGACGTATGCATAACCGCAAGCATATGACATAACCATGAGAACAGGAACGGGGAATCCCGTGACAGCCACCTCGTGCATCACAGCCATCGTACCCTTAGTAAGCTGGTCTACAGCAGCCAACATCGAAGTCGGGGAGCTATTTTGATGGTTGGCAATGAGGGTCTTGATGAGATTTGACTGCGACTCGGCTTCTCGGGGGCTGTGTGGTGTCTGGAAGACCCAGGGTTGTGTAGTGCTAGGCGGTGGAGTTCGGAGGTGTTGGTGTACGAAGCTTCACATCCAGCTTGGAGAGTACTCTCTCTGGATCGTATGGTATAAGACTAGCCCCTGTAAAGCTACCCCGTATATTCTTCTCTATCCTGGAGGTGTCAAGAGCGTAACGGCACGGCTGGTCGGGTCGGCAACGCCCGGCGACAGGTGCCAGTTGTTACAGCTTCATAGTGCAGCCAATGATTCAATCTGTCGGATTGAATCATTTGTACCCTTTTCTAGGAATATGGCGCAACGGTATGGCTGCACGTTGTGTGCCGTTACAAAGAGGGCCCCGCGGAAGGCATAGAGGAACTCGAGCTTGCTCACATGGGTGATATGCATACGCATCAAGTCCTCGATCTGGCGACAATACGCCTGCTTCAGCGGCCCAAAGCAGCCGACATCGAGAGGATGGAGCTTGTGGGAAGAGTGCGGAGGCATGCAGAGCGTGATGATATTATTCTGCTGGCAGTAGAGCTCGAATTCGGTCGAGTGGTGGCTTTCGTGGCCGTCGAGGATAAACAACCGGTATTTATTTTTCGTACGAGATGCCGTATGGAAGTCGAAGTGCTTGATCCAATCTAGGCCTACCGCATCGGTAGTCCAGCCGTTCTCGGTGGTCGTGATGCGCCAGTCGGCCGGGAGGTTGCACTCGGAGTACCAGTTGGCGGGGTGGTACTGCGCTGTAACGGTCCCAGGAGTATATTGCAACTAGCTGGTGACGACTCTACGAGTTTGTCTCGAATGGAGAGAGAAGAAGAAAA